TAGGCGACCGCCTAGTTCGCCTAATGGTTGCGCCGACCCTGGTTCTACGCCAAAAAAAAAAAAACGATGAGATACGGCTTGCAGAACGCTCCTCTACACGCACTTCACCCAATGAAGTAGAAAGAAGGTTTGGAATGGGCTTTGCGTCATTTAATTGATTCCAGAATGAGATAGCGCTAGTAAGGGCAAAAAATCTATTGCATCTCCTATATCTCTCACTCTAACCCTGAATGAGACAGCGCTAGTAAGGGCAAGAAAATCTCACGGATCGCTCCTGTTCTCTCACTCTAATGTTGGCCGCAAATATATGTATTGAGTAGATAGGCAAAGGGCTATTCCAACCTTCTTACTACTTCATTGACTTCACCGTGCGAAAAAGTTTTTCACACGCTGCTAATTATTATTATTTTTTTATTTATTTTGTTCCTGTCATCCTGACATGTCAACATAAATTGCGATCGTCACCAATTTTTGATGTTGATGATTTGTTTTCTAACAAATAAAGATTGCATATTTGGTTGTTTTATCTTGCAGTTGTAGGAAAAGCATTGTAAAAAACTCGTTTGAAAACGACTTTTTTCACACTCGCTCGACTTGTGGAACTCGCCTACGGCTCGGTCCAACAAACTGTCTCGCCGTGCGAAAAAAGTCGTTTTCAAAACTTGTTGTTTAAATAACTATTTCAGATGCTTTCAAAGGTGATTTAATAGAAATTTTTTCTACGAGTGTGCGCAAAGTAACTACTTTGCGCACACTTTTGCGTACGCAAAGAAGCCCTTTCCCAAAAGTGTGCGCAAATTAACTACTTTGCGCACACTATGCGGGAATTTTTTTTTCCCGCACACTTTTTTTTCTGGTACCCATAATAAAATCTGGGGACTCCCTATTTGGGGGGCAAAGCCCTGCGAGGGCCCCATATTTGGGGGGCGAAGCCCCGCGGGATCCACTTTTTCGAGGGGCACAGCCCCGCGGGGGCTCCTTTTTTAGACGGCGAAGCCCTATATTTTGAGGGCGGAGCCCTATATTTGGTTGCAAGAGCCCCATATTTGGGGGGCGGAGCCTCGCGGGAGCCCCTTTTTTGGGGGCACAGCCCCGCGGGCCCCCTTTTTTAGGGGGCAAAGCCCTGCGGAGAGGGGGCCGAAAAATGTTTTGCCCGATTCAGATATACCTAGTTAGTTATAACAAGTTGTTTTTGATGCCTATAAAAATTAAAAATTTAAAAAAGAAGTATAGTTATTTCACTCGTAGAAAAAATATTGTTCCTAACACGTGCGCAAAGTAGTTTTCCCGCACTTAAAGCTTATCCGAACTCCGCTACGCGTCGTTCGTCTAAATGCTTTTGCGTGCGGGAAAACATAACTTTGCGCACTGATTAGGAAAACTACTATTACAAGATTTTTTTCTGCATTTAAGTGAGAAAAAATTCATAATTTCATTTCTGAGCCTGAGTTCTACTCACCGTTTGTTTTGTTTGATGAAAATACCGTACTCAATAAATTCTGAAAACTTCAAATTCCTCTGATTGACATATTTTTCAATATTGAAAATCGAATAAATGTAGAAAAAAATGTCCCCAGGATACCGAAAACGTGTACTTATCCGTAGATCAATAGTTAGCGAACTTCCTCATTGTAATTTTATTCCAAATTGAAATTATTCAAACAAGCAGGATCGAAATTCGAAAACTTATGCGTATCTTATTTAAGTGGACGTCCTTAGTATATCCATTCTGGATCTGGGATGTCCAGACCCATATGGGGATCTAAAACTGACTTGCCGAGGGCGAATATTCCAGTTATGAATAACATATAGGCAGAAAGGACATGACACTAAATATTAGAATCCTGGTGATCGGTCGATTTTTTTAAAACTGCAGTATGTTATTCTATACCTGAAAACAAGCATTTTTGCTTATGGTCACTTCTTTGCACGAGTATGGGATATCCCAGAAAATTAAGTCCAAAGTTTTTATATGGAATATTTTGTTTGAAGCATAAACTATGTTTATCTAATCTGTTATGTATTTTTGCAACTTATACATTAAAGACAAAGATATTTATGTAGTTAAGAACAAAAATTATTACACAGGGTGTCTCAACAATTTTATTTTAAACCAAACTACACTCTAACAAATCCAATAACCAAAATAACGGTTAAAAAAATTGAGTTCAAAGTTTTTATATTGAATGTTTGATGTATCGGTTTAATGATTTTGAATATGTATTGGTCTGTTGTATTAACAACACAGTTAGGGCCAGTTTCACAAACAGTGGTACCTAACCCAACGGTAAACACAAGACACTGGTAACCTACAATATATCTGTTTCCTAATGTGTGGTTTAGTCAAAACCTTTGGTCACCTTCAGAATATTCCATGTAGTCAACCCGCAAATATGAGTCCGATAGCCAGTGCAGGTTACCACAAGGCTACCATCAATTGTGAAACTGGGCCTATATGGCATATTTTTGTATTTGTTGATCTATTTCTACAGTATTAAATCCAAATCGTTTCCGAGGAACAGCAGCCACTTCAAATAGTCTCTGGTGATCATTGTAACAATGTTTCTAGTTATTATTGATATTTTAGGTTATTATAGTTTTGTAGCAGTTGTTTTGGTTATTGGCTTTCTTTAAAGAGGTCGATATTGGTCAGTACAAAAACCTAATAGCTTTGTTGAAGAGAAAAAACGGCGGAGGAATTTCAAGATCTAACATTTTTGAGAAGCACGACATGAGGAGAAAAATTGAAAAAAAAAAATCAGTGCGTGAAAAACTTTTTTCGCGCACGCCGTGCGGTAAAAAAAAATTCACGCACGCAGTGCAGAAAAGTGGTACTTTCCGCACGCAAATCAGTGCGTGAGAACGCGTTTTCCGCACGCTCGTAGGAAAAATAAATATAGGTAGGTACTCGGTGTTACTCAAAAATAAAAATTTTTACTGAAAGACTAGGAGAGATTCTTGACAGCCCTGTAGAGGTCATTTCAGGTAATGAAGCAAAATTTCCACTAAGGGGAGTAGGAGATATTTTTGACAGCTCTGTAAGTTATTCCAGGTAATGGAGTAAAACTTGCCGATCATGAAGCAAAATGGAGCAAAACTTGGAGAATAAAATGAGCATAAAGAAACTCCAAAATTTTCACTGGGGGACTAGGAGAGATTTTAAGAGCTCTGTAGCTTATTCCAAGTGATGGAGCAAAACTCACTGATCATGAAACAATATGGAGCAAAACTTGGAGAATAAAATAAGCATTTGAAGGGGGTAGGAGAGATTCTTGGGAGCTTTGTAGCTCATTCCAGGTCATGGAGCAAAACTCGCCGACCATGGAGCAAAATGGGGCAGAACTTGGGAAATAAAATGAGCCTATAGAAACTCCCCCCCCACTTATTAGGCCACATAGTTTCTCCACTGTAGTGGAGCAGAACTATGGGATATGTTTCATTTATAGCATATTTCATTGGTAGAGCAAGTGCAACACTCGTTTTGCACTGACACCGTTCCCGTGCTTCAAAAAAATTGCAGGCGTGCAGTCCCAATGAAACATCATCGTACTGCAACATCCCATATACATACGTTAAACGTTAAATATGGAATTTCATTAAAAAAATGACATTTGTGTTTATTATAAATAACTAGCTGACCCGGCGAACTTCGTACCGCCTCTGAATTATTAAATATACCTATTAAATGTTGTGTTAACGTATCTATTAGCTGAATTAAATTCAGTTTTTTCGATGGTGAATTTGGCTTTGGTTGAAGAAAATTAATGTTTACTCTCTGGATCAGAAGTCACCTAAAATTAAAATTTTACATCATCCTTTTTTAGGCAGCTTGTGGGCATTATTCTTGTAAAGTGTACCACCAAATAAATAAACTCACAGGAATGTTCAAAGAATGTAAAGAAAACGAAAAAAATCTCTAGCGCAACCCTGTTTCACTCAATCTGCACTGCACTACTCCATCTGTTCTACTCTATCTGCACTACTCTATCTGATCTACTCTTTCTGCACCACTCTATCTGATCGGAATAGTGGAATTGTTCTGTTCGAAATAGCGCCAGTTCCTGAGCAGCATTGTTCTACTGTATCTGCAATGCTGTTCCAGGTATCAGAGATGGCGCGGTATACAAAATACAAAATAAACTTGGTATCGGTTAAAAGAGATGGCGCCGTATGCGGGCTAAGTAAATTTTTTTCATAAATAAATAAAATAAGTAATGAAATGGCCACATTAATGACATAACAACATGCTGGTACTGTCAACGCTGAAAAAAGTATCAATTTGACAGCAAAATCCCCATTAACAAAATGATCCTTCATTTATTGAATAATTCATTTATTACAAAAAATGTGATAAATGAAGAACCGCTCGACCGATTTTATGCAAACTTCACATAAACCATCTAATAAATAGTCCGAACAAAGCCTTAACATTTGGTTTGGCTCTTGGGTTTGGCTAGGTGAGCCCGTTCTTAAGTTATAAAATTACAACGAAAAGTGGCATTCATTTTTATATTATAAATAATTATTATAGTTTAATTTACAAAAAAAGTTCTTCCTTGTCTGCTAGAAGCCCTAAATATTCTTCATTTTCACTGGTTTCATTGCTGCTGCTACTATTCATCAAAGCGATTGCCATCGACAAGCGATTTGACATTTTTGGTAGTAGATTCGCAGACAAATATAAAAAACACAATAAAAAAAAACATCAACCAACAATAACCTCAATTTAAAAAATTACAATAAACAACTGCGACACGAGCTTTTTAGCCGGTGACGCACCAACAGCACTCATTTGCAAAACTCAGTGCATTTCCCAATGAAATACAAAAGTGCAGCGCGGACTCTGCCAATGGATCACGAATATTGCACCAGTGTTACACTTGCTCTACCAATGAAATACGCTATTAGAAAAAATCGGTGGGGCGGGGGGGACTAACTGACCCAAAAATATTTTGAAATTAACTATTATTGGTGAACAGACAGAAAATTCTTCCACTTACTTTTAACTGGAAAACCACTGTCCTTATCGCTAAATATGCCTCCCTTGCTATCATTGTCAGTACCGGATTTTTGTTCCGACTTGTCGATTTCATTTAGATTGGATTGGTATTTGGCACCTGTAAAAAACGGATTAAAATTAATATTATCTTTTACTATTCTCAATAAACGGGTAGGTACTTAGTTTTTATTCTCGAAATGTTCACTAGGAATATGAAACAAAAAAATAAGAGGACTTGCAATCATGCAGAGCAAATAGGAAAGAGCAGGGTTTAGCAGACTTTTTCGGCTGATCATATTATTAGAAGAATATTTTTAGAATAAAATTCATTTTATTTTTATTAGAGGCTGGTTTCCTATTGTAATATATTTAACAAATCGTCAAAAAACTTATTTGTAAAGTTTTTCCAAAGAAGTGGCCGTGAAAAGTTCAAAATCGACACTCAATAAGTGAAGGTTCTAGAGCATATTTAAAGAACAGAATGCAGGGAGGAGCTTTAAAAAGTCCATTCCTAATTAGGGTTTCCAACACAATGTGTTTCTATATTGGGGCTGCCGCTTTTTAATAATCAAGTGGGTAACGCTACAAAAACGGCACATCGGTGCAATTAAATGTAAAGTGGCCTTCAAAGAAATGTTCATTAATGAATTCCGGTGGAAAGTTTGGAGTTTCGCAATGAAGTTTATAAAAAGCCTGCTCAATGGTCAAGACCTTCCTATTTTTAATAAGGAATGTTTTTTAGTTATTGTGAGGCCTTTTTAACGCAAAACAGAGCGAAATACGTGTTCTAACTTTTAACTCCAATTAAAAAGGAAATGCAAATTCTTTTAAGAAATAAAACTTTTCGAAATCGTATGCCTTTATTCCGCAAAATATTAAATAAGTACACCCTTTTTCTTTTTATTTTAGCTTGAGACTTGAGAATTTCTTTCCGTCTTTAGATATCCATATACATTCCTTTTGCTATGGTCCAAATATTAAAAACATTCTTTTAACGAACTTTTGCAATTTTCTTATTGCGCTTCTTAGTTACAAGTATCACTTTGTAGAAATACCTCAAACGAAAATAGGCAAAAAATTCTTCTTATTTCTTGCTAGGATTGTTTTTTCAATTTAAGCAGATATTGTGAAAAGTTTCCGTAGACGATGTTTAAGTATTCATTATTATACTGACAATAAAATTTGGAATCGAGACAATTCTTTAGATGTATTTTTTCAAAGAAACAGGTATAAAGAATAACATCGAAAAAGAAAACTAATAGATGAAAGATAAAAATACATATATCATTCGTGCTATCTTCGCTAGAATCTAGCGACACAGGAGAAAACCTTCTTAATTTTCTTGTTTATAGAATCGTTTATGACTTTCCCATATTGATACGTTATATAGAAATTTCAGAAAGAGTTTATCCAGGAAACTTTTGGCCCTTTTCTGTTATTGTTTCTCGAGCAAAAGAGAGAGCAGAAAAGCAGACAGATTTACCAACTTTGAAAGTTCTCAAAACTTCAGATCATTCGTTTTGTTTATCCCTGGGGGTCCTTTTTTATGATGCAATTCAATCAATGATGTTTATAAATGCTGTGTAACATTCCATATTGTTATTTTTGCCGTTTTCTTCTTTCATATTTTATAAAGAAATGTTCTGACAGCTCCAGCCAATTCAGAACTTTATATTTTAAACTATCCTGATGGAAATTTACTCTTTGAACCTTACTATAATTTTAAAACCTATTGTTGCGACTTAGTTCTGTAATTTATAGCGGTAAAAAATGCAAATAGGTAGTATAGCTCCACTTAGCTACCATATAAAATAAAAAAAGTCAAATACCTTTATCAAGATGTATAGTCAGAGACGAAGGGTTGCCATAAATAGAGTTGTTTAAGTCGCTGAGTCCCCAATCTTTCACTCTACTCGGCGTTTCTGTGGTCGTAGGCTTTGGCGAGGTGGTTGGGGGTGATGATACTGCGACAAAAACATGCTTAAGTCGTTCTAAACTGGAATGGTTTCACAGATATGGGATCATCAACGGGTATTGTAATCATTAACATTGTGAAGTGAAATTCGACATCAGCTGACAGCATTCATGAATACTTTCCAAACAATAAGTTTTGCAAAGCTTCTTAATGGACAGATATGCATTTTCTTGCGTGATTTTTTTTTATGGATGGTCCCATATCTGATAATGCTTTAATAACTCTAAAAATTCCTTAATTAAAGTCCTTATTCTAATCTTAATTCTGATTATATTCAGTTTTTTGCATACTGCCAAACAGCTAGGTATAACAAAATTAGAACAAATTTAAACTTTGATCATAAAATCTCCCATAAAATTATTAAGTTGGAAAGCTCATTTTTTCATTCCATTCAGGTCAGAGTTATCAAAGCTTATTAACTAGAAGTGCTCCTGGGAATATAAGCTAAGTGTAACACACAAAAATCCAAGAATACGGTTGCTTTTTTTTACGGTTTAGCGGAAAGCTTGCATCAAAAATAAAATATTGTGAAAGTTTTAGTGCAATAATCTGCTGGCAGTGTGCAAAAACTTAGAAAAAATAGCACTCTACATTTATTAAAACAATAACTCTGAGATTGTTTTGTTCAAATACATGCTCTTAACATGCGGAAATGGTGTATTTTTGTTTATATCAGAAATCATTATTATTAGATTACTGAATAGAAAAATACAGTTTATACCCTCGAAACACACAAACCGTAATAAATTCAGTAAGATTGTCCTAATAAATTGGTAAGATAGCAAGATGCGATTTGAGCAAGTTGAGATATTAGTAGACTTTACCAAGATGGCTTAGAGCTTCTCAAAGTGTTGTAACTTCTGAAAATTTGCACGATTCCCTTTGAGTTTAACTTGTTCTCTTATTTAAAAAAAAAACACTGGCTATTTTGTCATACCTACCTTTTTTTGTTATACCTAGGCTTTCTAATAATTATTAGAAAGTCTGATATATTTACTACCTACTCAAAAATCTTATATTCTTGCAAAGTATTGAGTGTTTCTAGTTGTTCCATTACGTGGCAAAATTATTATAGTTTAGGAAAATGGGATATTTTCATTTAAAAATTGGGGTTAGTCAAGTTTGCCTCCCTGTGCAGCCTCGATCTTAAAACAAACTATGTGATCATTTTGCACAATTTTGCAAAACCCAAATCAAATTTTGCACACCCTCCTCCGAGAGTTTACAGCCGGTTTTCAGATGGGGGGCAAACTTGACGGATCCCCCCCGAATAGAAGCAAGAAAATTTCAAATGCGTCTATCATATTTGTTATATTTTGCACACTATTTTTTTAATTTTGCACACCTTTGTGGAGACAGTTATCGACCATCAAAAAATTCCTCCCCGACCTCCAAACTTTATTTTTGTGTTATGTTCTACTAATTTTACACAGTAATTTTCAAATTTTGCACAGCTTTATTTTTGCACAATAAAGTTACACATCTAATTAATTTCTTTTTTTTATTTTGAAATAGGTAATGTATTGCCAAATCTTTTTTATCAATTTCAGGTACCTACCTACTACAAAATTTTTAAAGTAATTTGGGGTGATGGGGAGGACATAGTTCCAGAAATAAAATCGTGTTAAGCAATTTGGGGTGGTTTATCAATTTTTTAATTTTTCTGAGTGGCTTCTTTCATAGAATCCGGCTCCAAATCTCAGAATAATTTAGTGTATGAAGTTTGAGGGATCTCAAAGGACCATTAAGACACAAAATCTCAACAAAAAAAAATTGAAATTTTATCGTTTTAGTACTGAGGTTGCTACCCTATGATTTAGAATTATGGAAACTTTGAAAGGTCATAACTTTTTTTCTATCATAGATAGAAAGCTGAAATTTTCATCCATTTTTATCCTAGTAGAGGACTACAATCCCTGAAAATTTCAGCTCATTTGGACTTATAGTTCCAGAAATAGAATCAATCCTATTACCTATAAGTTTAGATTATCAGGCCAACGTTTCGGTAGTGTGTTAGTAGCTTCCTCAGGGCTAAGAAAAAAAGAACAATTTGCTTCACAATACTTAGTATAAATTTCTTTATAAAATTGGACAGCAGAAATAAAGTTTTAAATTGAAAAACGTAAAAATATAGATCCATAGTAAGGACTGACATTAAAAAATTGAGAACATATTTCAACAATAACAAAAAAAAAAAAACGGTAACGTTGCAACTGCGAACACATTCACACATATTGGTTGTTTTTTGAATATGTATTCACATCTGTAACGTTACCGTTTTTTTTTTCGAAGCCTTGTAGCAGGAAGTAACCCCACACTACCGAAACGTTGGTAATATAAACCTATTGGTAATAAAGATTGTCCACACAAACCTTGTGAATATGATTTTTTTCCTTTCAAAAATTGATAATGCTGTTTCAAAATTTTACCACGGTGATTGTAATAATTTATGTCCTTTGAATAATTTTCAATTTTCCAAAAAATAAATTGGTAAGTTTATTGATAGTCTATAATTTTCTCCACAAAGGTGTGCAAAATTTGAAATTTAGTGTGCAAAATTAGTAGAATATAACAGTAAGAGAAGTATTAAGTTTGGTGAGGTCAAGAGACAAAAATTAATTTTTTGGTGATCGATAACTCTCTCCACAAAAAAGTGCAAAATTTAAAAATTTGCGTGAAAAATTGTGCAAAATTAGTAGAATATAACAGTAAACGAATCATTAAGTTTGGTTGAGGTCGGGGGAAAAATATCAATTTTTTGATGATCGATAACTCTCTCCACAAAAGTGTGCAAAATTTGAAAATTGGTGTGCAAAATATAACAAATATGACAGACGCATTTGAAATTTTCTTGCATTCATTCGGGGGGGGAACAGTAAAGTTTGCCTCCCATCTGCAAACCGGCTGTAGTCTCTTGGAGAAGGGGGTGGAATATTTGGTTTGGGTTGTGCAAAATTATGACATAGTTTGACTGACCCCAAATATTGATTTCAGCTTTCAATTTATTCCTTTTCCAATCCCTTGCAGCATTTATATATTTTACGCATATTTGGCCCTTAACCTCTTGCTACAGCGAGCCTCCACCTCAACGATATAAATTGGTTGAGGGAGACGACGAACATTTATGAAAGTCATTAAATTCTCTTATTAAGGTCGCTTTTACTAGTTCTTGAAAAATTTTGTTCGAAAACTAAATACATATTCGTGTTTTCTTTGTCAATGATAAATACCAAAACTGAAACCAAGCTTACATAAAATACCTATATTGAAATGACGATTAGGTTTGTATGGGTATACTTTCAAAAAGATCAAATTTCACTGTTTCCATTGATACATAAATTACCTATCCGCATTTATTCTGGCAAATTTTAAATTGACAAATTAATATAAAACGAAAAGGTTATTTGCGACTGACTGCAGTGTGAACGATGTTATTCGCGGGGCCTAAATTGTTTACTGATATGTGGTTAGTGATTTTAAATTAAATGCGCTGAATGTTTTTCATCAATTTTGATGCTTCGACTACATTATATTTTAATTACTATCAATCCTGTTTCAAATGTAGCATTCCCATATTAATAATGCTCTTATTGGAATGAATACTGCTTTTTATTGAGTTACATTGCAACAAGTTTTTTGCGATTTGCGTTAAATAATAATTGATTATCAATTATTTATGGCAAAATTCAACGTATATCGTAAAAAAATACATTACAAATTTGCCTAATTATGCATTATAAATTATGAGTTTTTCAGTAATTATGGCGGAAGCCAATAGTATTCGAAACGTCCGCGACATATTATTAGTTCTGACAACGCCGCTGTTTGAATGACATTTGACTGGAACGCTGTTGTTGCCAGATTTGTATTTTATTTAGCGAAAACTTCCAATGATCGAAAAGATAAACATTTTGCACCTTGGCCGCAACATTACCAGTACCAGCCTCTCAACTTTATGGGCGATGATACACCGGTCTTAAGTAGTGATAAAGATAAATACCAAGTAGCTTCCAATGCTGAGTTAGGGCTTTCCAACAAACCGGAAGGTTTCCGGTGTAAAATTGAGAATATTACCTTCGAATGAAATCTGATGTGAACGAAAAACACAGGTATCTGATAATCACAGTCTTACAATACTATGGCTTTGTCGTTCCACCTAGAGCCCATAGAATGTTTGCTCGTTGTAAGAGAAAAATCTTCCTCTTCAATATTTTCAGTAATAATCAATCGGTTGTGTATTGATTAAGTACTACCTACATATACCATAATACAGAGCTGGGCAAAGCACTCTAGAAAAGCACTTGGAGCACCAAGCACCAAGCCCTTAGGAAAAGGAATTGCCAGCATCAAGCACCAAGCACTTTGGAAATTCTTAGTGCTTGCAATTACCAATTACCTAGGAAAGTAATTGCACAATTCAATTACCAAGCACCAATTACTCAAAAAGTTACGAAGGCGTAGAAGGGACATTTATTAAATTTTTATTTGCTGGTAGAGATGCATAATTAATTCTGTGTTAACTAACTCGGAATTATCCCCTCCTATTTAATTCCGTATTAACTAACTCGGAATCCAGTTCCTCTTAGTTAATTTCGTGTTAAGTAACTGGGAATTAATCTGCTCTTATTTAATTCCGGTGTTAATTAACTCGGAATTAAATAAGACGGAATTAAATAAGAGGGAATTAATTCCCAGTTACCTAGCACGAAATTAAATAAGAGCAGATTAATTCCCTGTTACTTAACACGAAATTAATTAAGAGGAAATTGATTCAGAGTTAGTTAATACGGAATTAAATAGAAGGGGATTAATTCCGAGTTAGTTAACACGGAATTAAATAGGAGGGGAATAATTCCGAGTTAGTTAACACGGAATTAATTGTGCATCACTACCAGCAAATAAAAATTTAATAAATGTCCCTTCTACGCCTTCGTAAAAAGTGCTTGAAATCATTGCTGATTACTTGCAGGTGCTTGCAAGCACTTTTTTCTCAAATGAATCACCAATTACCAAGCACTACTAACTTAGCCAAATGCTTCCAATTTATTTTTAAAATAAAGATGTTGCTGAATTGGGGTCTAGGGAGAAAGCAATTTGAAACGTTATAAGTTTTGTTTTAACGTTTTTGGTTGATGTTGATATGATGATAGTTATAATCAAATGATCAAACCAAAGTTTTTTTGTTCTTAATTTATAACTAGTCTTCGTCTCTCCACTCTACATACACTACACTAAACTGTATCATCGAATATCAACATTATTATAACTAAAGATAAAGACTTTAATAAACTGTGGTAGTATAGTGTATAGTGTTAGTGAATAGTGTTGCATATTGCATATTGCCTTTGCCAGCGAGGTGCGAGACTCAACTATAAAGCTGACTTCCCACGGCCCGTGATATCGCAAGCCGGGCCGCGCTTACACGCGCCAACGCTTCATAGGAAAGGCGTCGCAGCCCGGCTTGCGATATCACGGGCTGTGGGAAACCACCTTAACACAACACAAATGTTTCCATATTGCCGACGCCGAGACGGTCAACCAGCCAATCACATCATTCACATCAATGCTTATGCTGCGTCAAGTTGTTGCCAAGGACTTGATTTTTAGTGCTTGCAAGCACTTTAAATGGCTTGAAATGCGAAAATCAATTACCAATTACCAAGCACTTTTTATAGAGGGCTTCGATTACCAATTACCGAGCACTGTATTTTAAAAGTGCTTGCAAGCACTGTGCTCGAAGTACTATTGTGCTTGAAGCACTTTTTTAAGCACTTTTAAGGCAATTACTGCCCAGCTCTGCCATAATATACGTGTGAAAATTTCAGTAAAAAACAAAATGCCGTCCATGAGCAATCTGCATAATTATGGTAAAATAAAGCCGGTATTCGGCTGGTCACAACACGTTGACACGCTGGTGTTTGCGAACAACATTACCTAACACCTGTCGCAATCGCTCGAATCGCTTCACTTGTGTTAAATTCGTCCAGCGTGCGCTTTTAACTTCCCACAGTTAAAAACATAGCAGAACAACTAAAAATGCAGAGGGAAAATTCGCTGTATCGTTCTCGGATTTCAGGGTGTGATTTGTATGTATTTTGTTCGATGCAGTTTAAAATATTTACGAATATACCTAGCAATACTTTTTAATATTGAACGCACACCGGAGGGTTTATATTTGATTTACAGTTTTTTTAATAAGCTTGTTAGCACAATGTCATCAATTTTCGATGTTTCAAATAGGTTGAAAAAATAATATTTGACATATAAGGTTGTTTGCAATTGCATCTGTTTTGCAGGTTTTTTTTTCTAATTGGAGAGCGGCAGTTTACTTACCTAATTAATAGAGTGGAAACATCTCTGAAGAAGCTAGTCATTGGTACAATTTACGATGGCCATATTAGGCCTCAATCATTATTCTTTGCTTAACTTTCCAATATTTGAAGAGAAACGCGTGTCCATAACATATTATTGATTATATTTCATAGAAAAAACAAATATAAAATTTTATTAGATCGTCGAAACCTGCTTTTTTAGAACTCTTTTTATCTCTCTGGCGTTATGTTGACGCTCTAAACTCAATAAAATAATGTATAGTACAAAGATTGTTTGCAGCATACATTATTATTATTGAGGCCTTCAACTGTATTGAAACCGAATATATTTCATCTAGCTGATTTTATATTTAGGTAATGCCGACTTTACTCCTGTATGAGTTTTATCTTTGATATACCTACCGAGTTTACTCCTTTGTGAGTTTTATCTTTGATATTGGCAGTACGTTTTTTTGTCTAGTTTTTGACACTCCTATTAATGAGGAAGGTGTATTATTCGGGTGACCAAAAAAGAGGTTTATTTTTCTGGTTTGTTCATCTACTTCCTGGCATTTATTAGATACTCAACTGATAAAAAAATTCGTTGTTTTATCTGAATTTATCTGACACTTTACAAGTTGTTTTTAGGACCAGTTTATCAGTGAAGGGTTATCTAGTTTAGGTGTCCGCTAGCTAATGATAATTATTAGTGAAACAAAACAAGAGCCGACCCTGTATAGCCGTACCAAAGACCCTTGTTGAGGAATTTGCCAATTATTGATCGCCTGACGCCAAATCTATTGCTCTCAATAGATAAAGGAAAAAGCAAGATGGGACCCGATACCAGGGTGCGAAATCTACCTGCAACCAGTGTTGCCAGGTCTACCGTTTTAGCGGTAGATCTACCGTTTTGATGTATGAGCTACCGTTCTACCGTTTTTTATTTAATTTTCCACCGCTAAATATTTAATGACATTGAGAGGACATTTCTATTGTAGTAGCGTAGGGCGGTACTCGACGTCGACATCAGCTGGGCTGGGTTACGCTTGCTCACTCCGAGTGACTCTATTCGCACTCCAGCCGTTCGGGTATCGCTTTTTGGCGTATCAGATTACGGCTAGAGTGCGAACGGAGTCACTCGGAGTGCACGGAGCGAGCAAGCCGAACCAAGCTGACCGAGACACGCCCACGGCCGACCGACCGACGCGACGTCAGCATAGTCGTTTATTCACATAAATAAAATAATTTATCCTTATTGGTAATACTAATAAGTCAAAAGTTTAGTGCCTTTATAATACAACTACCTATTGGAATGAGGTGACCATAAGTATGTTCACATATGATTATGTGATTCACCCTTATAAAATATTTGGTTAAATTTATATAGTGTTTCTTTATGGTGATTTTTATTATGTTCTTCTAATATAGCTGCCCACCCCCTTCTTTAAATTTATTTGGTGAAATTTTTATAACTTATCATTTCTAGTGTATTTTTATTCCAAATGGAATAGGGGAATATCTACCGTTTTTCTACCGCTTTTTTTATGTCATGCTACCACTTTCCTTATTTTCAACCTGGCAACACTGACCACAGGCCATCTCATCATGCATGAACGCAAACTCATCTTGCAAGAACGTATAAAGCAACGTGCCAAACAGACCGCATCCGCCGCAAATTTGTACAAGAGAAACACGAGAAACCGCGTCAAACACATGGCAACATTCTGCCCTGATGCTCACCACTGTTTAGGCTTTTGGCCTTAGATTCGGCACTCCACAGGGCTGTTGGTACTGAACCATTCCGACCTGATGCTCAGCACCGTTCAACATTCAAGTACGGATTTCGGCGGTCCGCATTACTCGGTGGTCCGAATTCAAACGGACCAATGAAATATGCCTAGGTGCCGAATCCTATATAGGCCAGGGCAGTTAGCAAAAATAGGAGAAGTTTTTGCAATCAAGCTGATTTTTTCACAGATGATAGTATCCATCTGTAAAAAAAAGTTACACCTCCTAGGAGGCTTGCTTTTTCCGCCATGATGAATTGAAGATGGCGGCTGGTGCTATTCTTGAAAAAAATCGTAACTTTCTTATTTATTAACCGATTTTCGTCAAGTAAAAAAAAATACCTTTGTTTTGGACTAAAGAATGAAATAAAAATATAAAACCATTTTGACAGGTAGTATTTCTGTCACAAAAAAAATATAGGAAAATAGATTGAATTGGTTTTCTTCAATTTTCTTTGAACCGTAGCTGTAAACTTAGACCGTAGGTACTTCTTACCAAAAGAAGCCTAAAAATATGCGCTTTTTTTTAAATTTTGAAACAGTTTTTGAGTTTGTGATAGGTTAAGTAATTCGCGAGATATAGTCGAAAAGAACTTGCGAATCAAAAAAAAAAAAAAAAACTTATGCAGGATGTGAAATAGTTATTTGTTTTACTAGGCAGAAAAGTACAAGATTTAATGCCGCGGCTGGTGTTTCATAGCCGAGGCTATAGGAAACCAGCCGAGGCATTAAATCTGCTTTTCTGCCATGTAAAACATATAATTTTTTCTTCTAATGTTCAAATTTACACATAGACATCTTTTTTATATTTATTTCATTCATTATTATTATCCAAATAATTAAATTATTTTGACAATTGTCATTGTCACCATCAATTTCAAATTGAGTGAAATTATTACCTGGAAAATTGTGACACTGTCACTTTTAATGCCTAGGCAGTAAAAGTCCACTTTTACTGCCTAGGCAGTAAAAATACAACTTTTGATCCTGTCAAGTGTCATTAATAGGCCGCTTTTACTGTCATTCGGAGAAAAATTCTATTTCTTGTATATACGCGCCTAAAAATAGCTGTTTTTTGAACTCAGTCCGTAAATTTTCATTTTCGGCCTAAACCGTAAAATGCTCCATTTTCGGCCTAGTTCCTAGAAGTCGTCATAGCAACGTTGTCAGTTTGCATGTACCTGTCGCACCTGCATAATCAGTTTAAAATTTTTAATGTTGTCACATTCACTTCACATCTTTGAGCTATTACAAAAAAGTATTGTTTGTTTCACGTACCTAAAATATAGGTTTTTTAGGTACCTACTTGTTACAAAAAATACATATCTTAGCTCGATTGCCTTTGGTTTTAGTTGATTTTTTTTTTCTACTGCCTTGCGTGAAGTACTCACTCTTTACGCACTGTTCAAACGTTGGATTATATTTCACACACTATTGTGTGAACTGATTCACAACAACAAAAAAGTTTACTAAATTGTAGTTTTCTCGCACAAATGCATAAACACCCACAAGTATAAAATTTTATATTATAAAAGCCTTTACTGCCCTTTTTCTGCATTAGAAATGTGATTTTACTTCACACTTTAGGTTGTGAACTAAGTTACTTTAGACACTATAGGGCGTAAAGTTGTGGTATATTTTTTTCAAATTTTTGGCATCGAGCGTTATGATCTATATCGCCTGCTTACAATATTGTCGGTAGTAGAAAAAAAAATGTATGCAACAGGTGTGTAAAAGCTTCTTTTTTCATACATTTGTGAAAAAAGGTTCACTTCAGACAGCTGTTTATGTTTTATACCAAAAATAATTCTAGTACCGACAATTAAAAGCCATACATTTGAAAAAAATGTAGGTACCTACCACAACTTTACGCCCTAGTGTCTAACTTAGTTCACAGGGTGTAAAGTAAAAGCACATTTTTAGTGCAGAGAAAGGGCAGCAATAGTATATTGTTGTATTAGGAGTAGAAGCTTTACTTTTTTGTGCTGAAGCAGTAGGTTTGCGAGCCGAACGTAGTGAGGCTTGCAATGCTGCTGAAGCACAAAAAAGTGCTTCTACTCCGTATGCAACACGCTATTTTTTCTCCAAACAAATGGGGTAAGTTCGGGGTAACTGGATGGTTAAGCGGCAGTAAAAGTACGAGCGGCACTAAAAGTACTTTTGCTGCCGCTCCAGCGGCACTAAAAGTACTTTTGCCAAGGTAATTGATGGGGGTGAATTTACTGTTTTTGCAGATGATATCACTATTTTGTGGCATGATACTGACGTGAATAGGCTTTCGTATACTATTAATCGAGATATCTCTATGATTAACCAGTGGTGTGACTGTAATTTGCTGTCTTTTAATATTTCTAAGACAAACATTTTGTCCTTTAAATGTAGTGTTGATGCCGTGTTCTTGGATGGTGAACCTATTTCCACACCAAATCATAACAAGTTTTTGGGGTTGTCGATTGACTGTAGTTTAAAGTTCGAGCAACATATTATAAGCCTTTGTTCCAAAATATCGTCGGGTTGTTATGCAATCAGATTAATCTCAAACAATCTGGATTTTTCTATTGCTAAAAGTGCGTACTATGCACTGGTTGAGAGCCATATCCGCTATGGAATATGCTTTTGGGGTTGCTGTTCTGACTTTTTATTTAATTCTGTATTTGTTTTGCAAAAAAGAGCTGTGCGTTATATGTGTTATGCTAAACCTCGTGATTCGTGTCGTCCATTTTTCTTGAAACATGCATTGTTGACTGTTAGTTGTATTTTTATTCTTGAAACTGTCTGTCTTGTTTTTCGAAAATATAAGTCCAGTCATTTACGTGATAATCCTTATGAAACCAGACAAAATTTCAATATAAGGTTGCCTTTACCTCGGTCGGAACTTGTTAGGAGTTCTGTTATTTACTGTGGTAAGAAAATGTTCAACCATTTGCCTCTTAACTTAAGAACGATTAATTCCGAAAAACAGTTTAAAAAGCACACCAGAGATCTTTTGCTCAAAAAGGCATATTATAATTTGAATGAGTTTTTCAATGATAGCTTTAATTGATTTTTTTTATGTATTTTTTTTTTTATTTTCTCCTTTTGATCCTTTTTTGTGCTTTCTTTCTTTTGAATTTTTTGAATTGTGTTTTATTAAGATAAGTGTGTTGTTTGTTTATGATATTGTTGTTTATATTATTTTTACTTTGTCCAGTATACACATTCTGTTTAAATTTATGCTTTTAATTTTATACATTTTTATTAAATTTTTATGTAGGAACTCTGTTTCTTTCCGACTTT